TCATCATCATCATCATCATCGTCGTCGTCGTCATCACCACCACCACCATCATCATCATCAGCAGCATCATCAGCATAATCATGATCATCATCAGCATAATTCTGATCATCATCATCATCATCATCATCATCATCATCATCATCATCATCACCATCATTCAGCAGCAGCATCATCGTCACCAGCAGCAGCATCATCATGATCATCCTCATCCGCAGCAGCAGCATCATCAGCAGCAGCATCAGCATCAGCATCATCATCATCATCGTCGTCGTCGTCATCACCACCACCACCACCATCATCATCATCAGCAGCATCATCAGCATAATCATGATCATGATCATGATCATCATCATCATCATCATCATCATCATCATCATCATCATCATCATCATCATTCAGCAGCAGCATCATCATCAGCAGCAGCAGCATCATCATGATCATCCTCATCCGCAGCTCATCATCATCATCATCATCATCATCATCATCATCATCATCATCATCATCATCATTCAGCAGCAGCAGCATCATCATCATCATCATCAGCAGCAGCATCATCATGATCATCCTCATCCGCAGCAGCAGCATCATCAGCAGCAGCATCAGCATCAGCATCAGCATCATCATCATCATCGTCGTCGTCTTTACCACCACCACCACCACCACCATCATCATCATCATCAGCAGCATCATTAGCATAATCATGATCATCATCAGCATAATCCTGATCATCATCATCATCATCATCATCATCATCATCATCATCATCATCATCATCATTATTCAGCAGCAGCAGCATCATCGTCATCTGCAGCAGCAGCATCATCATGATCATCCTCATCCGCAGCAGCAGCATCATCAGCAGCAGCATCAGCATCAGCATCAGCATCATCATCATCATCATCATCGTCGTCGTCGTCATCACCACCACCACCATCATCATCATCAGCAGCATCATCAGCATAATCATGATCATCATCAGCATAATTCTGATCATCATCATCATCATCATCATCATCATCATCATCATCATCATCATCATCATCATCATCATCATTCAGCAGCAGCATCATCGTCATCAGCAGCAGCATCATCATGATCATCCTCATCCGCAGCAGCAGCATCATCAGCAGCAGCATCAGCATCAGCATCATCATCATCGTCGTCGTCGTCATCACCACCACCACCACCATCATCATCATCAGCAGCATCATCAGCATAATCATGATCATGATCATCATCATCATCATCATCATCATCATCATCATCATCATCATCATCATCATTCAGCAGCAGCAGCAGCATCATCATCATCATCATCATCATCATCATCATGATCATCCTCATCCGCAGCAGCAGCATCATCAGCAGCAGCATCAGCATCAGCATCAGCATCATCATCATCATCATCGTCGTCGTCTTTACCACCACCACCACCACCATCATCATCATCATCAGCAGCATCATTAGCATAATCATGATCATCATCAGCATAATCCTGATCATCATCATCATCATCATCATCATCATCATCATCATCATCATCATTATCATCATCATCATCACTATTCAGCAGCAGCAGCATCATCGTCATCTGCAGCAGCAGCATCATCATGATCATCCTCATCCGCAGCAGCAGCATCATCAGCAGCAGCATCAGCATCAGCATCAGCATCATCATCATCATCATCATCATCATCGTCGTCGTCGTCATCACCACCACCACCACCATCATCATCATCAGCAGCATCATCAGCATAATCATGATCATCATCAGCATAATTCTGATCATCATCATCATCATCATCATCATCATCATCATCATCATCAGCATCATCATCATCATCATCATCATCATCATCATCATCATCATCATCCTCATCATCATCATCATCATCATCATCCTCATCATGATCATCCTCATCATCATCATCATCAGCATCACCATCATCATCATCATGATCATCATCATCATCATCATCATCATCACCACCACCACCACCACAAAAACCATCACCATCATCATAGTCATATGACGCCGTTGCTTGCTGCCCTCGCCTCTCCCGTGACCCGCCCTCAGCACAAGCTCGAATTGTTTAGGTGGCTGCCATACCGATTTCTCTGCCGGTCGAGACAACGGAGAGGAGAGGAGGGGGAGACGGCAAGGAAGGGACAGGTGGAGGAAGAGGAGAAAAGGAGGAGGGAGGAGGAGGAGGCTGAGCAGCAGGAGGGCCGAGGTAGAGGAGGACGAGGAGGAGGAGGAGGAGGAGGACGAGGAGGAGGAGGAGGAAGAAGAAGACATGAGCAAACTCAAGATGCATCTAGCGATGCTGCAGTACACCATCCCTTCCCGAAAGCCCTTCCTCACACGCCCCTGCAAGCAGCGCCCCCCCTTGCAAGAGACCGGCGCCACGCGCGGGCCTGCCACTCTGGCGAGGGCCCCCTTGTCTGGGCATGTTCTCGGGGTGGAGGGCTCAGGGTGAAATCCATATGGGCTTCTGCACGTCGAAAATCAATCCGTCCTGTGATTCGCCTTTTGCAGACTCAAGCCTCGAAAATCCATCGAAGCGGCATTTCGGATCTCACCCTTTGCCCTCCACCCAAGAAAATCATTTTTGGCAGCCCGGCCCAAGGGAAAGCAGGCCCTCGCCTCTGCGGTGCCCCGAAGCACCTCGGAACACGTTCTCGGGCCCCGGGGCCCCGTCACGGCTCGGCGCCGGCGCCTTCGCGCCAGCAAGGGGCAAAAGGAAAGCGCTGCCTGGCCGGAGCCTCCTGGACCCTGTCCTGAGGTTCCCAATGCACCAGGAGGCGGCGGACCGCGCAGCAGCGCCTGAGGAGAGGACATCGTGATGCGTTTTCCCTTGCCCCAATGCAAACGATGCGAACTCAGTCCTGCTCGCCGTCGCTGGAGTCAGAATGTTCTACTAGCCATTCAGCGGCCGAGAGAGCCCCTCGGCTCTGGGCGCTAGCATAGCCGAAAGCAGCCACGCCTTTCCATCCACCGCTAAAGAACAATGCTGTCGGCCCTCCTTGTTGGAGGGCTTCGTTTGCGAACCCTCTCCTGAACGCATGCGTGCCCCAAGCAGGCGCGCTGCGCAGATGCAGGGCGTTCGCTGCCAGCTTTAGCACAGCGAGAGCGTCGGCGTATTGGATTCCTGAAAAAGGAACAGCGCTTGTTTCTCCTAAGGAGAACAGTGTGCAAGCACCGCACAGGAGCCGACCCTGCTGGTGGCAGATGCAACGCCTCGTCGTCTCGCAGGGTTCATTGTACGACTTCCGGTGAGCAAAACGGATGATGCACGTTTTACGGCCCTCGCCGGTAAAACGAAATGCGACCGCGTGGGTCCCCAGATTTAGTACTTCAGAATATCTCAAGCAAAAATGGCGGGCAATCGCCCACGAGGCCGCTAGTGTCGGATATCCGGCTTCCGAGCACCACTTACGGATGCGTCTGGTCTCCTCAGCTGTGGCACGGATTTTCTCTCTTCTGAATTCATACTTCGTTATCTTTTCGGCGCCTCTCGACAATCTATGCGTATCTGCGAGGACGCCCAGCGGAGCCTGCACCAAGTGCAATACACTGCGCACGTGCGACACGTATCTCTGCAAGGTGTGGCCGTTGCGAAACAAACCAACGAAAGTGTCAAGGATCAGTTCTGTTGGTGGCCACCCAGGCGCCCCGACAGCAGTGGCAGCGTCGCCCCACAGGCGCACTGCGGAAGCATACTGGGAGGCGCTTTTCCTCCAGCTGGCAAATTCCACCCACAAGGTGTGCAAGCTCAGATGGTCGCCGCCGCTGGCTTCGCGACGAGCCCGCTTGATCTCGTCCCGTGGCCTGCCAGTGGGCTCCGCTCCCGGATAGCAGCTGCAATTGGCAGCAGCTGCCACGGCGGCTGCAAGCACTGCAGGCGCAGGAGCGGCCCGCGCCCGCCGCGCCTCTCCAAGCACTAGAAAAGCAGCGCGGGCCTTCTCTTCGGCGGGGGCGTCCAATCTCTTCGCAGTGGGCGTCTGGTCGCCAGCATAGCCAGCGCCGGCGCCGCCCGAGGCGGAGCCCGCCTGCGCAGCGACGCCCGCTGCCAGAGATGCCGGGCGCTGGGGCTCCGTTCGCCCGCCAGGCTTGTGCGCTTGAGCTGCCTGCTCGCGACTGGCGCTGCTCTGGCAGTGCGACAAGAAGGCTTTGACGAAGCTGCCGTTGCAAGCGGCGAATGCCGGCACGAGCTCTGCGAAGTCGTCGGCTCCAATGTCGCTCAGATCCGACATGTGTTTGAAGCCCGATTCTGTCAACGCAGCGATCAAGCCCGTGACGTGGTGCCCTGGCTCTGCCTGCGCCGCGACGCCGCGGACGACGGCCGCCAGAGGGGACGCTTCCACCTCGACGCGGACCTCCGCGACCTCATCGCTGGCAGCTGGCGGATGCGAGTACTTAGCGGCACGGCTTTTGTCGATGAATATCAAAGCCATGCTGGGCCAGAGCTCCGGAACAGAAGACGCAGAGAATGTGCGCACAAGTAGCTGCATGGACAACCGATTCTCACGTACCCCAACACAGGATTACGATGATGTTTTTCCCCTTTGCCGCTCACTGTCTCCGAATCACCAGGGCGCGTCGGCTGGGAAGGACCACGGCATTTCTTGAAACCCGTCGGCGGCTAACTTACGCAGCTGCTCTGACTTGGCTTCTGGCCGGGTCGGAGCGTCGGCCAAATTTAAATGCGATGGCACGTGCCAAAGGTGCAAATAATGACCACGCTGCGCGACTGCAAACCAAAGCTCGCCTATGAGCTCGTTCCAATCAAATTGCCTGGAACAGCCGCGTAAAAGTGCACCCAGCGCGCTTGTGTTATCCACGAAGGCGAGGATTTCAAACTCGCCAGGCAGATAACCCAGCAAAAACTTAAGCGCGCAGAGAGCCGCCATGAGCTCCCAAGTGCCGATCTGATTCTTCCGATGAAGCACCCACTGCCTCGCCTTTGCTGGGACATCAGCAGCAGCCCAAGCCTTTAAACAGGGAGTCTGGATGACCCATGCCATCCGTCCCTGGCCTGTGGCGTCGGTGTAAAGGATGCAACGCTTCTTCTGGCGACGCATCACCGGGACGCTCCTCGATGGCGGTTCCTGTAAGAACCGCAGCCACCAACGCAGACACAATTTGGTGCGCTGGGACAGCCGGCTCTGGTTGCCTGAGCCGTGGTGGTAAATGGCAGCAAGGTAAACGCGCGCGCCTCGGCCGAAGACGGCGGTCGCACCCCAGCTCAATTTGCCTGCTAATTTTAAAGCCCGCGCAGGCGAGAGCGATCTTCGCCGCAGAGCCTCACGAATTTCTGCGGTCCATTTTTCCAACCTCTCTGCTTCGAGAGAAAACTGGATCAGCTGGTTGTGGTCGTCAAATTCTACGCAGACTCCGGCCTCCGTGACGGCTTTGCCGGCGTCGAGATCCCAGCCCAGCAGTTCTGACACGACTGCTCTTGCCAGGCGCGCAGAGCCGGCGGGGCCGATTAAGCAGTCACTGCCAATATCGCGCCCCTCCAGGGCCGAATCGCCGGCGAACATATCGTCGACAAAACGCAAATATAACAAGTGAAACAGAGCTGCCAAAATGCCTTGAATGGCGAGACCGAAACGATCCCAACCGGACACTGATGCGGAAGAGCCAAATGGTAGGCACAGCAACTGTAACGCTTTACCGTCTGCCACTGTTTCTGGCCAAGCTGTCACTGCTAGCGGCAAGTGGCCGCTGCAAATCGGCAGTGTCTTAAAAGCGTGCCGGAAGTCATCTTTCCTCCACCTCATGGCAATGTGTTGCTTGCCTGCTGCTGCGTGGCGCACTAATGCCACCAAAGTGTCCAGCGTGTCTGGACATGTTCTTTCACTATGTACAACCGCGCCATTCACCGCAGACGCAGTGAAATCGTCTATGCAACGAATTTTTGGCATTCCGTCTCTCTCCCCCTGCACGATAGGGAAGCGAGCTGTTAAAACACAAGAATTTACGTCTAGGTTACGGAAGCGGGCCTTGCCATTTTCGACCTCTTTTGAACAGGCCGATAAAAATTGAGTCCTAACCCTCGTATCGCCGCCCTTTTCCGCGGCGATTCTACCGAGAGTCGCCTCATTCCGCTCGCGCGGATGTGCTAAAAGCGACCGCAAAGTCTCGGCTGGTTCCGGAGACGTGGCAGCGGGCGCATGGATGCCACTAGCAGGCAGGCGCCCCACCAAAGGGAAGCCATGGCAGAGGTTGTGAAACAAGGTATTATCTGGCCATGCTATAGCCTCGAGCATCTCTTTCAGCAGCAGAAGGTTCTTCTCCGGACCCAGCACTGACTGACAGTGAGCTGGCAAACTTCTAAAGATAGTCTGCCACTGTGGGTCCGTCACTAGCTTCCGATGCTTCCAAAAAGCAAGAGCAGACTGGCGAGCGGTTTGCAGCTCGGCAACCGACATTGAAACCGATCTCGCAAAATGGCCGTTTAAAAATGTTGGCACGCGCGGGCTATCGTCGGCTTCTGGCAAGCCGCTGGCCCAGCGCAAGTGGTCGCTCGGACCCAGGCTATGCAAATCCTCGCGGGCGCTAAATGCAGAGAAAGCTGCCTGGACAGCTTCGAGTGGAGAATTTGCTGACTCACTTGACCTTGAACTGGTACGTGGAAGCGGCGACGCTTCCGTGTCGTCTGATGCTTCCTCCGAGATATCACTCCCGGCGCCCTCGACTAGTGGTGCTTGGCCCACTCACCACTTGTTTCCCCAACCGTTGTACTGCTGATTGCCGGAGCGGGGGCTACGAGACCTGTGCTGACAATCGGTGCCCGCCGTGCCCTTGGGGCGCTTGGCCGGCGCCCGGACAGGCCGGTTGTCAGCCTCTGTGCCGTCGGAACTCTTCTTGCTCCCCGTGCCGCCCTTGTCGGTGACGCCTTGGCGCAGCCTTTGGGCTGACCCTTCGACTGCTGCCCCTTAGCTGTCACAGCCCGGCCAGCCTCCGTGAAGTTTTTGTTCACTTTGTCTTTGGCGTCAGCGAGGTTTTCACGATCGATCTTGGCAAAGGAAGGCGCCAAATCTACGACGTCTTCCTCCAGAGCCCTGGCCATGGCCCTCCTCTGGAGAACATCGTATTGATAAGCTGTCCTGACTCCACCGTGTTCCTCGGCGATTCGCACGATGTTGTGGGCGTACGCAAGGAAGTCAGCGATGCTGCATGCCTTGGTGAGGATTACCTTGAATCCCCACTCGTGCAGGTGGCCCATGAACGTGGCAAAGCCAGCGTAGTCGACTTTGTCCATCCACGCCATGTTCCGCTTGGCGGCAGCGCTCTGCTTCACCCGCTCCTCGTAAGAGCCGTCCCCCACGACAGCGTCGATCATAGGAGTCCGGCTCCAAGTTGGGCGGTGGTGATCGCGCAGATCCTCGCCCTCAGCGGACCCGACCCACGGCCTGCCTTTGTCGTGCGCGATCTTCCCCGCCGCCTCGAACTTCGCGAGGACCTCCTCTGACGGGAGTGCATCCTTGGCGAAATGCTGCATGCCCAGCTCGAGTTTCCGGTCCTGCAACTTGAAACTGAGTCCTTTCGGCTTCCCTTTCTGCAGCGCCTGCGACTGAAGTTCCGCAAATTGCTTCACTGCTTCAGCCATGCCCGAAAGCTCTTTGTTGTTGTGGGCCACCTCTGGTGGCACCGATGGTCCTGGCGAGGCTTTCTTCGCGCACGCCCCCTGCACCTTGAGTGCCAAGACAATCTGTGCCGGCGAGACTTTCCAGCTCTTCCACGGGTCGTCCTGTTCGGTGGCATACGGGGTGGCGTGAACGGGAATGCTCGCCTTGATCATGTCCCGCATGTGAGGGTCTTCGAAGTCGGCTGGCGCGATGCTGCCTCCCGTCTCGGCCAGCAGCCGCGCGACAGACACGTAGTGGAAGAGATCGTGCTTCTTGGCGGGGTCGACGTCGACATTGATGACGAAGTCCACCCACTCACGCACCTGATCTGCACCTGCGCCGTTGAAGGCTCCACTGGCGGCGGTGGCGATCAGCGCCAGACATCTTCCCTCGGACGACGCGTAGAATCAGATTGCTCTGCGTGCTAGGACACAAATCTGCAATTCAGACACCTTGTCTGAGCCATCACGGTTACGGTGGACAGCTGAAGGATCTCCCCCCGCAGGTGGACACCTGGCCTTTCTTCCGACGAGACAAAGAGGAGAGTGGCCTCAGGCATGGTGAGGGCAACCGTATTTCCGATTCCTCAAACATGCAGGCAGGCAGCCCCTCCAAAGATGTCTTCAACCAAGACTTCCCTTCGCAAAATCAGTTCTGACGCCGCCTGCTGCCGCCACCAAAACACGCGACAGCAACCTGTGAGAGGCTGGGCAAGGTCTGAGCTGTGAGAGGGCAGATTGCCTGAGCGTGCTCGTCTGAGCTAGTGCGGCACAACGCACGAGACAAGAGACGACAACCTGCTCAGGCGCGGTCTGCACTGCGGGGCAAAACGTAGCCAGCGCTGATTGCGATGCTTATCCCCCTCCGCAGCCTGAGTGCACTACCCAGGCCTCCGGAGGGCGTCATAAGCGCGCCTGCCGAGCGCTGCGTGCGATGCTGCCCCGGTGGAGAACCTGCCTTGCCGCGCTGGCTCCCTGCAGCTTGACGGTGCTGGGCTGCCGTCAGAGAAAGGATTCCCCTGACGCCACCACGCCGCCGACGCGATTCAACTTTGTCGCCGCCGCCGCCAGAGGACACAGAGCAGATTTGAATGATGATGAGTGAGCGCCCATCTTTGGGGCGAGCGCGTCCGCCTGGACGCGGCGCGAAGGGGCTTACGCTCGCCCTTCGCGATAGAATGCTGTCCGTCGCCGCGTAGCAGGCGAATCCGTCTCCAAACGGTTTCTTTCCTGGCGGGTGGTCTGGGTGGCCCCATTCTTTATGTGAGGCGCGCCGTCTTGGCGGGCAACGCCGCCAAGGCGACTCGCTAGAGGGCGCGCGCAGCTCGACTGCGCGCTATTGCAACGACGCGAATGTCAGCTTCGCCTCGGAGCTAAGGCAACAGGAAACGCAGCCAAGGAACTGCTTGCTGAGGCGCTTCCGACCCACGCTTCTTTGGCACCCATTTTGGGGCCAAAAATCTTCCGAAATCCGATGGGCCGAGTTCCCATGGGAAATCCGTCCAGTTGCAATCTCAGCCGCCGTATTTTCAGCAGCCACACCAGAATTTAATTCTGAGCTCGCTGGTGAAAGGGCGTCAGCATGGATATTCCGATTACGCGCCGTTTGGGACGCAGGCCCCCCGGGGTCGGTCGAGGACGGGCGTGCTGCGCAAATGCAAAGCACCCCGCCCCCGTTGTGTGCAGGTGGGGGATTAGCAAATGCTCCCCCATCAAGGACTAGCTTCTGCCGCCTTCACACATCCGACCCCGAGTGCCCCAGAGTGTGTCCGTAGCCCCTGCCTGGCTCGCGCGGTCGAGACGGCCAGGTCACTGCATTTTGGCGCGCCTGGGCACCACAATGCAGAAAGGAACTAAGAATGCGATATTCTGGCGCGCGAACGCCCAGGAGCACTAAGTCGCACTCAGGTTGCGAATCTGGGTGCGCAAGGGCACCAGAAAGCAAAAGGAGGAACTCGCAATGCAATTTCGCGCGGACGCCCACGAGCGCTAATGTGCGCTAAGCTTGCGAATCAGGGCGCCAGCGCAGTAGAACGCAGAAAGGCGTTCAGAATGCAGTTGTGGGCGCGCGAACGCTGAGGAGCGCTTTGCTGCGCTGAGATTGCGAATCTGGGCGCGCCTGCGCTCCAGAACGCAGAGGGACACAGAGTGCAATTCTGGGCGCGCGGACGCCACAAGCGCTCAGATTGCAAACGTGGGTGCGCCTGGAATCAAAAACCCAGAAAGGCGCTCAGGATGCAATTTTTGGGCGCGCGAACACCCAGGAGCGCTGAGTCACGCTCAGATTGCGAGCCCGGGTGCGCCTGGGCACCAGAACGCAGAGAGGAGCACAGCATGCAATTCTGGGCGCGCGGATGCCCAGAAACCTTCAAACTGCGAATATTGGTGCGCCTAGCCACCAGAACGTAGAAAGGAGCTCAGAATGCAATTCTGGGCGCGCGGACGCCCAACAACGCAAAGTCACGCTCAGATTGCAAAGCCCCGTGCGCCTGGGTACCAGGCTGCCGAAAGGCTCAGAATGCAATTCTGGCACGCGGACGCCCTCAGACTGCGAATTTGGTGCGCCTGGCCACCAGAACGCAGAAAGGAGCTCAGAATGCAATGCTGTGGCGCGGGGCCCAGGAGCGCGAAATCGCGCACAGACTGCAAAACTGGGTGCGCCTCGGCACCAGAACGCCGAAAGGAGCACAAAATGCAATTTTTGGGCACACGGACGCCCACGAGCGCAAAGTCGCGCTCAGACTGCGAATCTGGATGCGCCTGGGCACCAGAACGCAAAAAGGGTGGAGCATTAGAGTGCAATACTGGCCAGAGAGAGAGCACGGCGCCCACGGGGGGAGCAACGACGCACTCTACATTTCACCACAGGCGGCAAGGACCAGCGAGAGAGTAGCCCTCGCGGCGGGGTGCGAGAATGGCGCTCAGCGGTATCAGAAATGCACTGAGGACCGCACCCACTGGAAACCAACAAGGAGCCTGCGCCCCGGGACGCCCCGTCCTCTGGCGAAGAGGGCCAGAGAGCGTAGCTCGACAGGCCTGGGTTTGCCGCTCGCGAGGAGGCAGGGAACCTCCACGTCGCACGAGGTTCAGCCCGCGAGAAGGCAGCGACCTCAAAGTGACTTCTGGGTGCCCGCGAGAGGGCTTTGCCCGCGAGAAGGCAGCGAGGTAACCTGCACGCAGCATGCCACACGGAACCCGGCAGAGCCCGGGAGACGTGCGGCCTGAGTTTGCCCGCGAGAAGGCAGGGACTCTGGGTGTGCCCGCGAGAAGGCAGGGACCCTGGGTTTGCCCGCGAGAAGGCAGGGACCCTGAACTTGCCCTCCAAGGCGGAACCAGAGAATGAGAAACACGGTGGCCTGAGTTTGCCCGCGAGAAGGCAGGGACTCTGGGTATGCCCGCGCGAAGGCAGGGACCCTGGGTTTGCCCGCGAGAAGGCAGGGACCCTGAAAACCGCCGCCAGGCGGCTGCTGCCCGCCCTGCGGGCGCCGTCCCACGCGGAGAGCGTTCGGTCAGAGAGCCTGAGAAGGCGGCCCCTGCCGACAAGCTCTCAGGCACGTGCCTGCGAGGGAGCGGGCAGTGCCACAGCGCACCAGGCCGTCGCTCGTGCGTTGGCCTGGCTTGGCCCTGCTCCCCGCAGAGACCGAGAGCGCCTCCTGTGGGGCGACCAGAACGGCTGACCCAAGAGACTAGCACCGAGAATACTTCTGCCTCCGAAAACGCAAGCCGGCCCGCCAGGAACCGCTTGCCCGCGAAGCAGGCGCAGAGGCGTGTGAGATGGAGCAGAGGAGGTGAGGCGAACACGCCTGGGCCTGCTCCACATGATTTTCCTGTGCCGGAAACGAGTTTACGCTTCATGAAAATGCTCGGGAGTTGTGAAGGAGAGCTGCCTCTCGCATCCTCCAGAAGGTGCAGGCGCGGGTCGGGTTGCGGGCGGGACGCACCGGGAACCAACCGAGGCACGGGCAGAGGAGGGTGGGGGAGGGCGAAGGAGGGCGGGAGCCGCTCAGCACGTGCAGTCCGCCTCGGGCGTGCCGGAAAGTGCAGGGCACCAGGGCGCGGCTGCGACGCGGGCAGCGGGTGGCCGGAGCCGAGGGCCGTCTTCAGGGGCCCCTGGTCGAGCACGCGCGGGGAGGCCCTCGGGGAGCACCGGCGCGGGGGAGGCGCAGGGGGCCCCGCGCGGCGGGACGCGCGGGCCTCCCGCGGACCAGCTTCCCTCGGCTCCGCGAGCCCCGGGGCTCCGGGCTCCGGGCTCCGTCCCCGGGGGCGTCAGGGAGGGGGGGGCGTCCAAGAGAGAGGTTCGCATGGCCAGGAGGCGCGTGCGCGGGCGAGGGGGGACCAGGGGGGCGCGCTGAAAGAAGAAGAGGGGCCGTCAAGTCCTTGGAGGCTTCGCGGCCGCGGCCACGGGTTCCACCCCCCCCCCTCCAATCATGATCACCGCCCCTCTGCCTGGGACGCTCCCGGAAGTGTGGAAGCTCGTGATTTTTTTTTGATAGCCCCAGGGCCCGAAGGATGGATCCTGCAAGCCGAGGGCCGGGGAAGAACGCCAAGGTCGAAGACGTCGGCCCGCCAGCGAGGCCTCGCGGGGCGAGGCGCGCCTTTTTTCTCTGCAGCCGGCGCGCGCACTCCAGGCCGCCTCGGGAGCTCCTGGCCGAGGTCGCGGAGGGGCTCTTGGGTCGAGGGGCGAGGCGAGGCGCGCTCGGGTGAGGCCCTGGGCGACGTCGTCGCCCCCCGTCGTCGCTGTCGATGTCTTCGTCGCCGCCGCCGCCGTCGCCGTCGCCGTCGCCGTCGAGACGTCGAGGTCGTCCTCGTCCTCGTCCTCGTCCTCGTCCTCGTTACCCTGCTTTCAGCGTGGGTCAGGGAGCGTAGCATGAGCATCTATCAGCAGCATCAGCATTGTAGAATCAGCCGTCGGAGGGGCATGAGCAGGTTAGCTCCTGCCTCTTGTGCTTCCAGTGTGTTGCATCGCAGTGTGTAGCATAGCACGCTGCTTCCCGAGCCAGGGGCTGGAAAAGCAGGGGACGGGAGTGTCCCGAACTGGGGGGGCCTGCAGGTGGGGAACAGGAGTGTCCCGCGCCACGGGCCCCAGATCGAGCCAACAGGACCCGTGGCGCCGTGTGATAAAGAGTTGCGTTTTCTCCCCTGCCCCCCGTTGGCCAGGACGTTTTGGCCGGTGCCCTTTTTCGGCCCCAAAGGGCCTCCAAAAGGGCACCGATGTTGTTGGCCAGGGAACTCTGACCGGTGACCGCGACGGCCTCCGGCGACCTCAAAAAGGTCACCGGCGGCCGGGTCACCAGCAGCAGCGCGAAGCAAGCCCTGGTACATGTGTACATGCTTCTGACTCTCAGGGGAATGCGGTGCGCCCCTACGCCTGCATGAACCTGGAGGGAGGGAGGCCGTCCAAATGCGGTGCGACACTACGCCTGCATGCGGATGCCTCCCAGTAGTTTTACTGCTGCTGCCGATTTGGCTCAAGAGGTGGAAGAAAAACATCCCTTCTTCCCACATGGGGGCTCGCGGCGGCCGACCCTCCCGGGGAGGCCGCAGCAGGGCGTCCCGTAACTGGTCCCTGGAAGTGCGGTTGGCCGGGACGGCCGACTACCTTCTCAGGGCCGTCCTCGGCGTGGCACCGAGGCCCCATTGGAGGCCTCTATGGCTGCCCCCGTGCTCCTGGGAGGAGCTCGCGGCCTGCTTGAGGGCCGTCGCAAGGGCCCCAGGGGCTCCAGAAGTCGACCCAGAGCCGCAAAGCAGTGAAGATGAGGCTGGAGGACAGTAGAGCCCTTTCAAGTTCAGGCCCCCACCCCCTCCATCTCAGCGGCGCGCGCCGACGGGGGAGGCGGGCCGGGGGGGGGGAGCGGGGCGGTCCTATGTGAAGGGGCCCTGGGACGCACAAATAAATACACACCAATAAAAGGATTCCCCATATTTTCCCACATGTTCTTGGTTTTCTCTTCCCCACCACTTCCCATATTTTCCCATATGTTCCTGGGAATCGACGATTAATTGTGTCTGTGTGTTTTTTTCCCTCCTGACTACGACAGGGCGCAGGGCGACTGAGGGGGATCGGCCCCTTCCCCTGGTGGAGGATGGGGGGGGGCTCTCTCGGAGGAGGCCCCCCGTGGGAGGGCGGGAGAGGCCCCCGAGAGGCGGGGCGCCCTCCTGGAAGGCCCTTTCATAAGGGGCCTCCTCTCCCCAAGAAGCCCTGTCCTTCCTGGGAGCCCTGTCCTTCTGAGGCACTCCGCCGCTCAGAGTGGTGTGCTCTCTCTCTCTCTCTCTCTTTCTTTCTCTCTTTCTTTCTCTCTCTCTCTCTCTCTCTCTCTCTCTCTCTCTCTCTTCCTGAGGAGGCACCCGTGGGAGGAGGGGCCCCCTCGGGGCGGGGTGCCCGCGTGGAAGACCCTCTTGGAGGGCCTCTTCTCCGAGGAAGCCCTGTCACTTTCGGGAGCAGCATCCGTTTGAGGCACCCCGCCGCTCGGGGAGGGTTCGGGCTCTCTCTGAGGAAACCCCCGTGGGAGGGCGGGAAAGGTTCCCGAGAGGAGGGGTGCCCTTCTAGAAGGCCTTCTGGAAAGGCCCTCCTTCCAGAAGGCCATCCCGGAAGGCCCCCTTAGACGGCCCTCTCAGAAGGCCCTCTTTGACGGCCATCACGCAAGGCACCCTTAGAGGGCCTATTAAAAGGCCTCCTCTCTCAAAGAAGCCATGTCCTTCTCAGGGGCCCCATCCTTCCGAGGCACTCCGACCCTCGGGAGGGGTAGGGCCTTTGGAAGGCGGGAGAGCCTCGGGTGCCTTCCTCCTCCTCCTCCTCCTCCTCCTCCTCCTCCTCCTCCTCCTCCTCCCTCCTCCTCCTCCTTCCTCGTCCTCCTCCTCCTCCTCCTCCTCCTCCTCCGCCTCCTCCTCCTCCTCCTTCTCACCACCGCCGCCGCCTCCGCCTCCGCCTCCGCGCCTCCGCCTCCGCCTCCGCCCCCGCCTCCGCCTCCGCCTCCGCCTCCAGCTCTGCCTCATCCCTCCTCCTCCCCCCCTCCGTAGCCACCGTGGCTCAACAGGTCTGAACCTATAGGGGGTGCCGCGCCGCCGTGCCTGCAGGGATACCGCCAGACCGCGGCTGTCTTCCAAGCTCCTGTGGGGTCCCGCGGCGCGCGAGGGATCGGCAGCCCAAGCGGGGATCCTCGGGCGACCGTGCGGTTTGGCGAGCCCCTTCCTCCTTTCAGCACCTGGGTGCAAATGGCGAAGGATGGTGGGCCCCAGAAGTGGCACTGCAAGACCTGTGTGCATCCCAGGACAGGCAAGCCCTTCCTCAACTTTGCCGAGAACTAGAAATGTTTATGCTGTGGCATCGCAAGGCCTGCTTTGGTGGGCATGGCACGCCGGCTGTCACGTCCAACCGCGTGCCCTGGGCCATGCAGTCGGCATGGGCTCAAGGGCCGCCCGGCAGCGCTGATGGGCAGCTGGTCAAGTTTCAGGCGCAGATCAAGCGTCTGGATGGTGAGCTCAAGAAGGCGAAGCTGCAGCAGTCCCATGCTGGGCGATCCTCCACGGCTTGCTGGGACGTCGACGGCGAGTGCGAGCTGGCCTTGGGCAAGCACCGCAGCGCGGCCATCGATGAGGAGCTCCGCACCATCGCGTCCTTGGAGGGCGGGATCTGGAGCAGCATCAAGGCCGACCTACGTGCCGAGCGCCAGAATCTCGAGCAACGCCTTCTCGATTCTCAACCAGTGGCATCACGGCAACGCGCTCTCCTGCACAAAGCGGACGAGGCTGGGCAGAAGCTCCTCAAGTCCAACGAAGCACCAGGACGCCTGCCGCGAGCGCGCGCTTGGACGCTAAGCAGGCGCCGAAGGACGCCGAGGCCCGCGTCTCCGAGCAGGGGCAGCTCCTGGCGCGGCCCAAGTGAAGGGGCCCCAGGAAACACAAATAAATACACACAAATAAAATGATTCCCCATATTTCCCTATATTTCTTGAGTTTTTGTCTTCCCTCCCACTTCCCATATTTTCCTATATTTTCCTGGGAGTGGACGATTAATTGTGTCTGTGTGTTTCTTTCCCTCCTGACCAAGACGTAACAGGCGGCCTTGGCGCCCCGGGGCGCGGCGCCGGCAGCGCCGCCCTCGCGCGGCGCCGACGGAGGCCACCGTCCCGCAGCTGGACGCGGACAGGGCGCGGCGGCTCCTAAAAGCAGGGCCTCGACGAGCCCGGCGCCCAGGTGCCCGACCTGTGCGGCTCTGCGGCCGAGCCGCGCGAGCAGGCCCTGCAGCGCTCGCGGCGGGCCCCGGCGCGGCTCGAGGCGCCGGCCGGCCAAGCGACGACGGGGGGCGCGGCCTCGGCGGCCGAGGCGACGCCCGCTGCGGCGCCAGAGGCCCTCGGTCCCGACGCGTCGCAGATGCGCTCCGAGATCGCCGATGGGAGAACGCCCCCACCTGCGGGCGATGGAGGAGCGCGAGTGCTCCGTGGGCAGCTCCGACTCGCATCTGGCAGACGGAGAGCGGTGAGCAAGCTCATCGTTGGTCAGCTCCTCGCTGCCATGATGCTCTTCTCCGACATCGCCGCGAGCGAATGGCAGCGCCTCGACTTGCCAACTGCGGAGTCTTGTGCCGAGCCGCTCGACATGGGCCCATCGCCGCCTGGCTTCCATGGCCAGGCTCGGCCTGACCCTGAGCTGACTTCCGACCAGACCACCCCAACCCAACCCGAAGACCCGAATTTGACCCCAATTTCGGGTTGGGGGGGGGTACGGGTTCCATGTGTTTGTTCAACGTTCCCCGACCCCCCCCCCACTGGAAATGGAGGGCAAATCGAGGGCTTCGGGTTGGGTTGGGGTGGTTTGGTGGGTGGTGATGAGCAGGCTCGCGCTGCGCTGGAAGGCGATCTTGGACGTCGGTCTGCGGGCTGGGTTCGGAACGTCAGCCCGAAGGCGGCAGGAGGGCGCCGACCCCCGGCAAGACGGGCGCGAGGATCGGGGATGGACAGACCTCCCTTTTAATAATAGAGGAATGAGAACTATGCACAGACACCGATTCTGGCCAGGCCCATCCTGAGCCCAGGATCGGTGCATACGCCCTCCTACCTTGGCCAGCAAGGCATATGCACCGATCCTGGGTCAAGGATGGGCCTTGCCAGGATCGGTGCATGTGCATAGTTCCCTTCGCCCGAAATAAAACGTGGTTTAGTGAAAACGACCTCGGGCCCAACCTGGCGGGCGCAAGCCTGGAAAATAACGGCCGCGGCGCCCTCTCGAGACCCGAAAGCGGACGATTCACGAATCGACGCGTCACTGCCAGGAGGTCTGTCCACCCCCGAGAGAAATGGCCTGCGACAGCGCGAGCTTCGCGCGGCGCTCCATGGGCAGCATGCGCCTGCAGGGGGGGCTCTCTCTGGCCGAGGCGGCGTCGGAGGCGCGCCGCGCCTGCACGGCGTCGAGGAGCTCTCCCCGTCGCCAGAGAATCACCAGACTCTTGCGGCTCCTCGCCCAGGACGCGTGGAATGAGGTGACCAACCATCGCTGGACCGAGCTTGACCACCTGGTCGACATGTTCCGCGCGCTGTTCGACAGCGCATGGGCTCCTGCTCCTCACGCCAGGCGGCCACTATCTCTGTGGGGCGGCCTGGGCGCGGGCTGGCCTTCGGCGGCCACGCCCTCGTCGATGGCGTCGTCTGCCTCAGCGTCGACGTCGGCGGGCCTCTGCGCCCCCCCCCTTCCCCTTCGGTCTCGCCCCGGACGAGCCCGCCTCGCCGCGCTCGAGCCAAGGCGGCTTGCG